TTATACTAAATTATAGACCAAGCAATGTYAATTTTTCTATAGATTCAGATTTCAGATAGACTATTTTGTTTTTAAACAGTTTTTCCATAAAAAGTTTTTTCTAATCATTAAATTCACAAAGTTAGAGAAAGTTGAAATTAAGTACGAATAATCTAATAATAATCTTTAACACTTCTTTGCCTTCGTGATTTACTCTAATTGTATTCGTGTGATAAAATCTTGAAAGATAAAATAAAAATTGTAAAAAAACAAACTCTTTACAGATTTGTTTGTGTAGATACTGTTGTTTAATAAACATTAATGTTTATTTGCATCTACTCTGTGTAAAAATAATAATTAAACAATATCGCGGGCTTCTTGGGTATGAAAAGTACATAGGAATGACATTTCGTTAAAAAACAGCTGTTATTAGTGAATTTCTGCTTAGGTAATCTAACTTTATCAATTTCGTAGTTATTGGAAAAAACTTTTTGTACGAAATATTTTGAAAATCGAGACTTGTAGAAAAAATTGAGTTATATGGTATTGTACCTACATGCAAACCAAGAGGTTTTTAAAATTAGGCAGTTTCGTAAAATGTGTATTTGGCACTTATTTAAACCACATTTCAATCCATGGTCATCCTGCGTCAATATTTATAGCGGCGTCTTTTAGCGTGAAAAATGTGTATGTAAATCAATTTTATGAACCTCTTCTTCAAAACTTCGATGCCGTGCCATGATATTATTACATCATATATTATTATTATATAATTATACAATTTAGTGTATATGGATAAGATATCAATACGTCCTTAACTTGCAGTTGATTGATTTATTGGAAATTTCAAAATATTAATCTTCTTTAAGTAAATTCAATTCAAATCACTTTAACATTACTAATTACTTCAAGTTCAGTTTAAAAAACTTGCAGGTAATTATTTCTGAATATTCAGTGTAAACTTTCCATGGATAAGTAATCAATGTTCAAGCAAAAATGTAATCTGTTTTTTAAAAATATTAAGCTATAAGCAGCTTGGACATTTTAATTATATATACATAGACATATTGTACTTGCTTAGGTAATTAAAATCTAATCTAAAGTTTTGAAAATACCATTGTTAATTTTCGATTAAGCACCAAGCGCTTATCACTGCATATTGTTTAATATTAATTTATTACAATATTATATACTAGGTGTATTATATTATTATATATGAACGAACAAAAGGATTTATTATCATTACAATAACCTATACATTTAAAAAAAAAATCCATTTCTCTACAATTTTTTTTCTATCCTTGTTAATTTGGTGGACTAATGATGGTAAGGTGTAATGTTCAAATTGTATTTGCATGTTACATCCACTGAACTAATTTTCTACGGGTGCCCCAGCTGGTTATTATTGTATATTTGTATTACGTTGCAATATATTATTTTTATACTCATTTATAATATACCTACCCATCTGATAAAACACTAATTTGACTTTCATTCAAATAAATGTTTAGTTCAAATCGTTTACTATACCTATTTCACGCATCTATCTATTACAGTTCAGCTATGGTTTTGGTGAATAAGTATAACTATTATATTATGTATTATAGGTATCAGTAGCAGATTGTAATTCAATGTGAATTTACGAATGTTCATACAAATTACAAATTGAGTTGACTAGGTAGGTGGTATTTTTTTAAAATAAAATTAAAAGGTAGCTTATACCGCACTCGATACCAATTCATTAATTCACAAAACGATTAATTAGTTATATAGGTAGATAGATATGTATATGAGTGGGTGAGTGTAGCAGGGTGGAAGAGTAAAAATGTATGTCTCAGTATAATATGGTTAGCGTCACCACAGATAACAATAGATACATAGAACAGAGGTGCCTACATTTACAAATTGATATATTCCTACATGTATAAAACTTCATTCTGGTACGCATAACATTACATTATGAGTATATTTATGGCAATAAGCCAATGAGTTAGAAAATTAAATTTAAAAAATTAATTATACGCGATAAAGATTAAAATCATTATTTTTTTGTCTTTATCATATACCAATATCAATAAGTGTAAGTATGTAAATTGATAATATAATTATTTTAACCTTTTCAAATATTTATACAACTGAAGTTTTTAAATTGGTATCATAATTTATAGCATAACATACTACATACTTTATAGTATAAGTACATACGTATATATTATTATTGAATATTGGTTATTGATTATTATTAATATTTTTAAAACAAAAATTAAATGAATAATCATTAATCTCTAATAAAAAATGATAACATACTCACTTACATAGTTACATATGAGTACTTTTAATAAATATATTTACGAGTAATAAATCTATAACTGAAAACAAAATTACATAATTTTTTTTTTTTTTAACTGTAATAATTGGGAGTAAACCCTTAGATAACTAAACGTAAAATATCAATTATTCATAAATCATTGCAATGTAATTATCAGTAAAATCACATTATGTCCATCATTATGGTCATCTACACGCTATATAATATACAGCTAATACGGGTATAAAATATGATATTTATTATTAATAAATTGTTTCCTTTGTATGTATGGTTGTTGATGGAAAACGTTTTCTACTCAAAACAGTTGTATTGCATTCGTTTATCAGTAATTAATTACTTTTTAATTTAATTTTTTATAACCTATAACCCTATATATTGTTCAGGAAATAGTGCGTGCTTTAAGTTTTAATGGTTATATGTATTTAGCCTATATATACAGCGCTATCTATACAGACAGAGAAATTATGAGAATGGAACTCGATTGGAATTACAAAAGGACATTTATTTTCTCGTAACTGTTCACCAGTTTTCAATACAATTACGACAATTTACTGCTCACCAGTAATACCAAAAGATTCAACATAATAGAAGCGACAGTTATGCCTACAAGACTATTTATATATACTACAGAAATGACCAAACCACGGCTCTGGTCATAACATTTTTACTAAAAGTTAAAAATAATTATAGGGACATAATTATTCCTTTTCTTGCCCTTCTTAATATTTTTTATTATACTGTTCGGATCGCTACTTTATCGCTCACCGCCCCTGCTATATAATATAAAACAGAATTGATTGCCAAGAGAAAAAAAAACAATAGGTAGGTAGTGCACCACAGTTTTCCTCAATGTCCCACAAGCATTCTATCGGGTATGGTATACTGGACTCCTTTTTAAATAAACCAATTTCAACCTTAGTGATCATCAATATTCGTCGTCCGATTATAATATTACTCCTGTCTATTGATTCAGACTATATATATATATATATATTCCTCGATACAAGCGGAGGTCTCCTATATATATATATATATATTCCTCGATACAAGCGGAGGTCTCCAGGGGCTAATTACAGCATCAGTCCTGTACAACATTTTTATAGCTGTTCTACGTAGTTTCTATACCTTTGTCACTGAATATGCTGTCGATATGATAGTAACAATTCTCTCAGGCCGTAAAAACCCAATCATCGCATCTAATCATCTCCAATCTTTCCTTTCTCATATTATTCAAACCCGCATGTATCAAAACTTTAATAAGTAAAAATCGATGAAAGCAAATTTTGTCGCCACGTCACATTCATTCTCAAATACGAGGTTTGTTCTTTAAGAATTACTTCTAAYGCCATCTGAATTTCCACTTTACTTAATAGAAAACACCTCATCGGTGTCCACTCGAATATAAAAAAATTAACCCATGCCCACCTTCGCCATACTTCATCTCCATATATWATGTCTATACCTATCCTGATATCCACATCGCCCAATTTAAACAMAATTCAAGTTTTYGTGTTCTTAAATATATTTTCTAAGCTCAAAACTAAATATTTCACTCCACAATCCAAATCAATTCATCGATGGAGGAAGCGCGCTAAGAGAACACAATACTCATTTAATACATATGTATAGCTTCTTCAAATACATTGGCATCGTCACCAAAACTAATACTGTAAAAAATCTCAATATTAATAACTGTTTTGTGAATATTATAATATAAAACTGTAAAAACTACTAACCCATAATCATGTAATTCCCAACTATAACTTAATTGTATATGACAATGTAAACCTACCTCAGGCAAATGACCGAGTTGTTGAAGCCTTATTATCAATAAAAAAAATCAAAATCAAAATCAAACTATATGCACCTCTACAAAATCTCTTCTATATTAAATTTTATATTTTGCATCAAAATCAAACATAAACATAATATTATAAATTCATAAATAACTCAAATCGAAATTTTTCGTTTAATAACAAAATGGCAACCCATCGCACATTACCATACAACCTATTAACCGCTCACCCAAGTACTTATATGTCTACTCTGTTGAAGTTAAGAAAACTTAGTCGGCAGCCGACTTATGCACAGAGGTCAGGGGCGTAGCAATCAGGCACGGCTTCAATGGCTTACAATGGGGTGGAGCCGGTGGAGGGAARGGGAATTTTTTTTAGATATCACTAAATGGCAAAGGGGGCTTAGAAAATATCCTAACCTTATCACATTTTGTTACGGCATCTAATGCTCTAATTTGGAGTGCAGACACGCAATAAATTGAAAWGAGTATATTATTATGTTTCAAGCCGAAAAACATTTGAAAATKWCAAGGGCGCGGGGCGGATGTCTATGGAAGAAAGAATCGAAGCGAATTACTTACGGTGATCGAACAATATTATATAGGTCGTTGGAACAAATATTTTTTGGAATAAATAAGCGTTGAAAATTCTGAACAGTTAACATCGATAATACTCGAAAAAATCAATGTACATACCGGATATTATTGATATTAATTCAAATTTCAATTGGTACAATTTATCTTTGGAACAACTTTTCTGTGGAACAAAAATGAAAAAGTAGTGATCCGGTCCAACCCACAGACACCATCGCACCTATCGCGTTATCGCGTTATCACGGTCGACGACGATGCTGCCGTGGAGGTGGAACCCGCTTATCAGGTCGGCCGTCAGTCGCCGTCGTCTTGTAAACAACGCGAGCTCGAACGAACGAACGATCGCAAATGTACGAGAAAACTCAATAAAACGAGCGATGCGCATTGCCTTGCACTACTGGCGACGACCGACGACGACCACCACCACATCACGTCCGCGGGCGACAACTGCGACGACGACGATTTGTTGTTGACCACGTCCGCGACGGTGGCGGTCAATGTCAGTGTGACCGGCGGCGGCGGTGGTGGTGTTGACGACGACGTCGACATGGAGCTGACCAAAATGTGCCGGCTGTGTCTGGCCGCGGTCGACTGGCCCGTCAACGTTTTCGACGAACTGTCCGACAAGATAGCCCAATGTCTGCAGATCCACATTTCCCGGACCGACCAGCTGCCCAAACACGTGTGCGTCAAGTGCAAAGACACCGTCAACGAGTTTTACGCGTATTACACCAACGCGGTCGAGTGCCAGAAACAGCTCGATCAGCTGGCGGACGTCCAGCACAACATGGTAAGCGGACGCTCATCGGTGGCGCCYCGCACTTCGCAGTCACCACACACTGTTGGTCTTGTTAATTTCCACCACGATCTCGTCAACAACTCCCCAAATCGCTTTGGCTTAGAACCCTTTTTCTGTTTCCACTACACCCTCGTTTAGAGTGTTTAGTGTTCGTGGTCTTTTATTATCCTTTATCATTTTACTCGAGTTGGCTGTAGGTTGTTTAGGCCTCGGCTGATTTGAAGATCCCCAACTATCTG